CTTTGAAATGAATTTTGGACAAATTTGGGTATTTTGGGTAATTTTTAAAATTTCGGCAAAGAATTGGGTTGTAGGCGAATTTTAATAATTTTAATGAAAGTTTGAACTAGAGTGGGTAGGTAAGCCATGAAGCAATTTCCAAGTCATGAGAGCTACATGAGGATTCATTTTGGGTTCACCCATATGAGCTTTCCAAAATGAGTTAGGAGTCCAAATCAAGTACAAGTGGTCTTTGGGTTTCGGGTGTGTAAGAAAAATGTAGTGTGTGCAAGCTAGCCTAACCAAGACTAGACCACCCAGGGTTAGTCCTAAGGCACGACCATCCTATTGGGACTCTTCCTGAGTTCCCTATATTGACTCCCCCTACTAAGTGCTAGAGCTTAGGACTAATATGTGGAACTTCAAGTTGAGCAAAGAAGAGTTTAGAATTTCTAATAGTGAGGGTTCTTTTTTTAGTCCTTTAGGAATAATCAACAGGATAGTCATGTGGCTAGACCTAGGATACTAAGGATGAAAATAGACTTCAACCAAAAGTGAGGTCAACAATAACGTTAAAAAAAAGAAAAACGACAAAAAAAATCCTCTAGGGTAGAATCGGATTCTTAGAAACCTATTACCCTAGGCTCAAACATTAATGTTTCTCTCCTTGATCTTGACACTTAAAATTTTTTTGAGAAAAAAACATTAGTCTTAATCTGGAGTTTTCTTGAGTATGTTTATGTAATTAACTATAGGAGCTTACTTTTATAGGAGTATCAAATGACTCATAATAGGTATTGTACCTAAATCTCTGGTTATGAAACATTCACGTGGTTTTCTTAATATGAGAATCTCAGAAATCAGAGACTTCTGAATTCTCTATAAATAAAACCATTAAGACATTTTCTTTTGTTTTCATTTTTCATTTTCCCTTTTTCTCCCTCACCAAGTTAATTAACATCTTAATGTCATTCATTTGATCTAAAGAGAATAAGTCAGTTGGAGAATAAAGCAATAAAATAGATAAATAGAGTGACGATTCCTTTCGATAACGACATCAACCAACGATACAAACGACGGGAACTGGCGGTGACGGCGACATGTTCCGACGACGACATGATGTTTTTATTGGGATCACAACTAAGTCCAACAAATCCTCTTTTGAGCTCTTTCTAAATTTTTCAATCTTTTTTTAAGTGATCTCACATGTTTTTTAACCATGTTTGGTCTTACAATCCATTCATTCTTTCTTGGAAATTTTTGATAATATTCTACTAACCTTCTTTGCTAAAATTGGTTGTTGGTTTATTTCCTAATTTATTTTCAGACAAGTATATGTCATAAAAAAATCATTTTGGTTTCTTTTCTTCAAATTTCCGATGACATGTTATCCCTTGTGTTGGTTCAATGGTTATATGATAAATTGGTGAACATCCTATGCATTAAAGTATGATAAACTTTGCATAATTGTCGGGTAATATGAGAAATTGGTAAGCAAATTTACAAAAAACCAACTCAATCAAATTTATACAAGTATCATGACTACAAAATAAACATCTTCACCTCAAAGTTTTTATGCATTATACTCATATTTTCAAGCATAAGAAATAAGTCTTCAACATCGTGTAAAAAAACCATCAACACAGTTCATGCAACCAAACAAAAAGAGACTAATATTTAACATTAGATATTCATAAAGAAACCACCATCTTGATGTTGAAGACTTTTTTCCTTTTTCCAAAAACCCTCCCAATTGCTTACCTAATAAAATAGGAAATGTACTTGTGCAGCAAACAAACCTTATGCATTCACACCGTAAACCCTTAAACTTTCATATTTGCATTTGTAGCAATTTGGCGGCATCAACGTAGGCATCAAAAGATGAATTTCACTTAATTAAAAGTAAATAGTACTCGTATGTTCATGTGTTCAATATTTAAATAAATATGAAACATATGGTATGTTAAATGCTTTAAATTGGAGAACATAAGAAGAAAATCTTCATAACACATAAATAAACCACTCTAAGGATAAACCAAATGCTAAACCATCCAAACAAAGTGTTTCCATAGTCATAGACCACACTCCCCTTTATATTAGAATTTGGTCTAGAGCCCAACCAAAAACCATGCTTTCACTGATTTTGACCAATTCCCTTTACTGCTCAAAACATTGAACTCAAGTAACGAAATGACAGGAAAATAATACATATTTTTGTGTGTTAGAACTCAAAATAAATAAGAATAGTTTGCCATTTAATTGCAAATTTTCGACCATATGCAATCACTTCCATAGGTCTGATGTTGTCAAACGAAAAAAATAAAATTTAGAGAAGGCAAAAGAACATAATGTTTCTCCTCGCCAAAGGATTGAGGACAAAAAAAGGCTGGGGAATGATATAAACCCTAAAAATATAAATTCAACATTTTATCCTTTCTCACAATATGACAGATCACGATCAATGTAGGTCTTCCACTAATTTTTGATCGAGACATGGATTGCGAGAGAAAAACAAGGAAGCAAGCTAAAGAGACATACTAATGGTGAAGAATGAAATCAAAAGCATGGGGCTTCAAATCCGGCTGGGGCAAAGTAGGGATAGGAGACGAATGACAGCGAGGGTAGCGAAGGAAAAATCTCTTGCTATTAATTCGTGAATTATGAGATGCAAGCGTTGGCCCACAGTCGTAAAAATAGTATTTTTAAGACATGGTTACGAACCAGGGCGAAAAAACAGAGCCCCCCAAACACATGAAAATAGTGTTTATATAAAAAACCGATTCAAAAAGCCGAAACAAAGGAGGCCTTAATATCTCCTAAAAAAATTAGGTGATAAAAAATCTTAGTCCTATCAGTGTACCACAGGTGCATCAATTTTTTGAAAAGAAAAACCTTGTTATATGCATTTTTCTTTTCATACAACTCCCTCAAAGTTTTCCAAACCTTGCTAACATTTATCTCAATAACAACATGCTAATATACCCTGTTGTCAACCCATTGTAGAATCTTATCAATGGATCAATTTAGCCCAATCCTTATCGGACTTATCTTTTGGTTTGCCCGCATCACCCAAAATGTATCTTCATAGTCCAAATAACAAAGTAAGCCCTCCATATGGGACTTCTAATTAGAGTAATTGGTTGTCAAGAGCCTAATCGAGATTCGTGCGGCAACGTTAATGATGCTCATCATTGAAAGCAAAGATAACTCCCTGTTTATCGTGGGGTCTGCGCACATCGCTAAGGTTATTGTATGTCTTTATTTACAAAACACGTGCATGTAATCGATAATTAACTTGTCATCATCTAGCATAAACCGATTTTGTAGGTAAAAGCATGCAACCAAGTTAATAAGTGCTTCTTCCAACATAAAAACATTCGTTTGAAAGAGCTTCTTTCAATATTCCACCAACATGACCAATTAAAACCATTATTTTAAAAATGCAGATCGCACAAGCCGACTCAACCAATTTGACAGAATTTCAATCCTGAAAAGTGTAATCCAATTCGGTTCATTCCAAAAAAAAAAAAAATTCTTTTGAGAAAATTACAAATATGCTACTCAAATATATTTGATGCTTGAGAAGCATAAAATCACTTCGAAACAATAGAAAAAAATAAGATACACACATCACTTAACAATGTGTATCATGTGTACTAAAAAAATTACTAAAATTACAACTAAAATTATGATATATTTAATTTTAAAATTCATATGGCGTATGTCACGAGTTACGTCGTCATCCAAAGATACCATCCAACTCCAATACCTAATATATTTTAATATAATTTTTATACTTACCATATAAATAATTTTAGTATATAAATTATATAAGAAAATATGGTATATATAGTAAAATTTAAAGTATTTAAATTAAAATTAATTATATAAAATGCATTAATAATATTATATAATTTAATATATATATTTAGTAAGTTTAAACAAAGTAATAATTTGGTAATATAATTATAAATTTATTTACAAATATATTTATAATAAACAACATATAATGTATACTATATATCTATAAGTATTACATATTAAATAAATTAATATACATTTAATATAATATTTAAGTGTTATATAAAGTTATATACTATTTATTTATGATTTTATATAATTATATATGCTAAATATAATAATAGTATTAATTTATTATATATAATATATACATAGTGAATATCCCAGATTATTCAACAATAACACATGATAACATGCGCTGTCGCGCAAAATAACACATGATAACATGCGCTGTCGCGCAAAACGCAAGTAATAACATTGAAGCTTCCAAAACCAATTATTTTAATTCCACGCCAATAACACCGTCATACTGCTGTAATAAAACCGCCAATAGCACCATTGCCGCAAAACCACAGTAAGACTGCAATACGATCATAATAACACACTCAACACCATTTGTCATGGAACCACGATAACACTTAAATTCAACCCGAATAACAAACACTTGTCGCAGAACCGCAGGATGACAAAGCCGTAAATAATATTCTTCGAATGTGGGTTGTAGGATCGAACCTGTGGGCGGCATGTAATACAAAAGGAAAATAGTTTATCCCGCAACACTGTGAAGAGGAGAAAACAAACGACCATGTCATCATTTTGAAAACGTTCTGCAGCACAACGGCGACGCCAAATGAGCACTAAATTAAAAAACATAAAAAATGCCATACACCAAAATTTTGATTTAGAATAAAAAAAATTAAATATTTTAAATTAAAATATTATTCATTATATAAAATGTTATTAATATATTATTATTTAAATTATATTAAAATAATTATAATATTTATTATATCATCAGATTTAATCTTAAACGATATAATCTTAAATCTCTCCGTTTAGAATTCTGGATCTAGTGTTCACAACTGTTATTAGAACAAAAAGGTAATTTACATAAAATTACTCGGCCATTTAAATCAATGACCAAAATAATAATTTAATAGATCTCAATCAAGGAATCAAACATAAATTGAAAAAAAAATTTTGAAAGAGAAAAGCATCAATCAAGGAATCAACATAATTTGAAAAAAAAATTGAAAAAGAAAATCAAGTCAGAAGAATAAGGCAGTTCGCCTTCTTCATCTGCTTCCCCCGCAGCCCTAAACCCTAAACAACTCAAAAATGTCATCGATCTCAGTTCTTCTTGAAGTTAGGAAGAGTTAGAGACACCGTGGGAGAAGGCATGCCCATGTTCAACAACCTCGGAGATAGCCGAATCGTGGGGCTTGGCCGAGGAGATCGTATCGGAAGCCGATTACCAGGCGGCAACGGGACGGTTCTCGGCGAAAGATTAACTTGCTCCAGTGCCTTGCACTGCAGATCAGCAGGATAATCCCTCACGCATCCGATTCTTGGTCCATTTCCCGTGCTCCATTTGCACGAAATTCGCCGGTTGAATTCGAGCACTGTTGCTTTGTCCACCTTATCTTCGCTCCCAATGGCATCAGGTAATGAAGAGTTGGTAACCTTTTCTGAATCTTCAGTTTCAGTAATGCTAGCATCTCCTGCAACCGCTTCCACTTTCGCCACATTCTGATTCATTGGCTCATCATCGCAGGGCATCTTGAAGGAATCGAATTGGTCATCATCAACGGAACACCTCTGAGAACATATGTTATTTGTCAGTAATGATAGCTTGTATATCGGAGCAAGTTGTACTCAGACAAGGAACAGATTTAAAAAAAAAAAAAAAGGCAATTACATACATGCCACCCAACTCCTATGTATTTACATATCTATCACCTAAATTTTCCTTCTTACGGTTATACCACCCAAATCTTTCGTATCACAACAAAAATACCGCTACTTTATCTTTCACAAAGTGAATAGATGTTTACATGTGTAAAAGTTGAAGTTTAGGAGTTTAGATATGTCAATACATAGTAATTAAGTGGTATTGTGAAAAACTTCCCCGCACAAATAAATAAAAATGGGGAAATATTCACCTTCACATCGGTGAGGTCTAAATTGTTCTCCTGGAGGAAGCTGATGAATTCCTTGAAGTTTTCTTCAGTTGGGAGGTAATGGCCGCTGTATGGCCATATAGCCTGGATAGAGTAATTCAACTATTATTAAAATTATTATTTTCAAAAAATAGAAAGAGCTTTAGTAAGAAAACAATAGGGCCTCAGTCAATCTTTAAGGATATAATTGCAAACCTTGAGAACTCCATCTTTGGCAACCAGTCTTCCAGCAGCTGTAATAGCTGCCCCAGCTAAAAAGCTTGAGTGTTGAAATGTGCCTTTCATCTTCTGCAAGGAAAGAAGAATAGGATGTTAGTAATGCAATAATTTGAGTCACGCAGAATGAATTACTGTCTCTTGGTAATTTTTTTTGGGGCATTTACATACATAACACGCAATTCTTATATATTTACATATCTGACAACCGAATTTTCATATTTACCTACATAGCACTCAGATCTTTGACATCACATCAGAAATGCTACTATCACTCATTTTTTAGAAGGAAAAAAAAACCTTTTCTTACACTGGTTTTTAATACCAAAAAGTTAAAATTATAAATACCAGACATTAGGTGTTAAATATGTAAATGCATCAGAATTGTATCATAAGTATTTAAATTTCTTTTTTTTTTTTACTATAAAAATAAGGTTGTATCATAAGTATTTAAATTTCCTTTTTTTTTTTTACTATAAAAATAAGGTAAACATGCAGCTCAAGTACTAATGGTTAGATGAACATTGTAAAGTTTGCATATTCCATGAAATAATATGTTCTTAACATATAGTTTTCATACAAAAGGTGTATACCTTCCCCACATATAGTGCCCTTGACGTGCTCAAAACAAATATCCACTTTGAATCATCATCAGTATTCACAAAATCTTCGCTTTGTTTATATACAAACTTTCCATTCTCCACAATGACTTCATAAGCCTCCCTCTCTTTCTGCAACAAAACAAGTAAAGAACAAATATAATGATTTAGAATTACATTATAAAATTGGATTTATATAAAAAGTGCACATTTCTACTTAGAAAAACTGATGACAGCACAAGAGAAATTAAATATAAAAGACCTACTGGTCCAAGATATTTTATGCATTGCTGCTGAAGCTTGGTTCTTGGGCACTTCTCAAGATTTATTTCTCTTCCATCTCCAACATCCAACCTTCATGTTTGGGAAGAAAACAAAAGTGTAAAGAGTAGTTGAAGAAACTGTAACTAACTGCTTTGATGAAAAGTTTACAATTTTATGGATTTTCTCAGAGATGTTTACCAGTAGAAAAATGGTTCGGCGCCCTCACTTGCAAACCAAACATCGTAATAGAGATGCAGATTGTGTCCATACCGATGACGCGGATCAATCTGTATGTCGCGATTACGTCACAAAATTAATAAACAAAAATTGGTAGCAATTTGTTTTGCAGTCATTAAATATATACTAAATATGAAAAAAATATTGCCAATATTCCTCAGAAGCCTCTCAGAGGGTGCAGAAGGAAATTAAAAAAAAAGTATTTCTCAACGTGGTCAAAATATGAAATAAGAAATGAACAGCAGGAAAAGTTAAGGGGGAAATCACTACGCAAGGTATACTGTAAAATCAAATGGCAAAAGCGCAAACACTTACGGCCTCAAGCCAGTGCTGTATTGCCAATTTTTGAGCCTTCTCATCTTTAGACAAACCTTTTCCAACCTGAAAAGCAAAAGCATTGAATTGATGACTATACAGATCATAACTAAGCTGTTAAAAAAAGGGGCATTTACATACATACCACCCAATTCCAATTCCTATCTATAATTCCTATCTATTTACATATCAAACACCTAAACTTTACTTTTTTACATTTATACCACCCAAATCTTCCATATCACATAAAAAGTACCATCATTTTAACTTTTAAAAAGTGAAATAAACATATTCATGCAAAAATAAGGTGGATTGTATGTAAAAATTGAAGTTTAAGTATTAGATATGTAAATACATATGAATTGGGTGGTACTCATGTAAATCGTCTTATAAAAGGGCATCAGCTGAAAATATGGTATGTCTACCTTGGCAACTCTCGTGCGCGCCCTAGCCCATCGTGAAACTGCTGTTTGAGGTTTATCGAAGTTAAAATAAGATACCGAGCTATGCTTCAAAAATGCAAAATCCAAAGCTTTCCACCTAGAAACCATAGAAATTTTTTTTGTTTTAGAACAATGAAATAAAATACGGAATAAAGCTTAAATTTAGAACGAAACAGAGGAATTGAAGGCCAACCATAGCTCCTCAACAACGACAGCACAGTCGGCAAGATTTCTTCTTGTGCGATAACTTTTGTAAACCTTTTGAAGCTTTACAGCGGCCGCATCAAGCTCGCTCCGCGGCCGTGGGGAACAAAATTCAGGAATTGAATTTGATGGATTTATTTCTGGCAAAGATTTATTCTCCATGCCTTTAAAGACAGTATTTTGTGGTTTTATTTCCTCTGAAGGCTGCCAATTTTTTAAGCTTAATGATCTCTCTATGACCAAGCCGCCAGGAGCCATTGATGACAATGAATCAGTTTTTTTAAAGCTAGGTGATTTTGAGGTTGTCTTGATGTATTTCTCATCGAAACTAAGGGATTTAACCAAAGCAGCTTCAACTTCCTTGAGACCAAAGATCCTTGATTTCATGGATTCAAACCATGCCCATGAAAGTAAGGACAGAGATAAACCCATTAACCAAAAATCAGAATTTTAATCAAGTCCTTCAAGCAGGAGGTTTATCCTGAAAGAAATTAATATTTAGTGAGGTCAGTAATATTTCAATTTAATGATATTCGATTAGAAGATCCAAAAGAAAAGAGAGACTTTTAATTGATTAGAGTTGCCAATGTTGAAAAAGCTAAATAAACCATTTGCATTCAAGACAAAAGCTTTGAAATATTTATAGGAAGGTTTTTTCTTTTTAAACATCTTTGTGTACGTCTTCGAAACTAGCAAGTTGGTTTTGTCTGAAAGAGAAAAAAGTTGATAAATCAAAAAAAATGTAAAAACGCTATGCCCCTGCATACCAATTCTATCTTGAATGCAAGAAAGTTAAATGAAATTTGTTGAGATTTAGTTTCTTTTCCTTCAATTTTCTTCAGTCCAAACAAAGCCAAAAGACGCTAAAGCGATGCACCCCATCCACCCCAAAATCAATCATAAAATTTTCAAAAATAAAAATTAATGTTCTCCATACATTTCAAAGAATCCGACCCTCAAAACATATGGGAAAGGAATATTGCAAGAATAGTAGAATAGCTCTTTTCAAACACGATTTTACAAACACTATGGTAAACAGACTAGAAGCGATGGTAAGAAAAGAAAATCTATTATATTTACCAGCTAGATAGGCAACGGGAATTAAGAATGCCTCACTAGAAGCAATAGTTGAAACAGTGGAGCTAATATAAGAAAAAACAAGAAGAAGCTACCATGAAGACAATCCCATCCCTCTCTTTACTTATAGAGGCAGAAAATGGAAGAAAGAGAAGAGAAAACCAGAGATAATAGACATTATTAATAAAAAAACAAGCAGGTATGCCTTCGAAAGAAGAAAACGGTAAACCTTAGAAGCAGTGAGTATGTTCTACCTTACAAAGAATTCAATGGTCAATTCTTTGAAAGTTTGAAGAAAAAAAACTGGATGCTTGAAGAAAAAAAACTGGATGCTTGATCTGGCTTTCGCTTATGAGAGAACGACAACTACTGAATGAAAATCGCACGAGGTATTTCGGACCTTTTAAAGGAGAAATGGTCAAGGTTCTCTCGTTTCAAACCTTCTTCGCTTCATCTTCAACGTCACCATGTTTCCTGGAATCGAGTAATAAAGAGAGGAGCGAAGATCGGGAAATGGGGTAGCGAGGGCAGCTTCGAAGAAGTTCCCGCTGAACTCCAAATCAGCGGCTTTTACCAGAATATCCCGTGAACAGTAGCACTACCCATTCTATCTCATGCGCAGAAGACGACTGACTTGTGTCCGATATCTCATTATCAATGAAATTTCTTTAGAGCAATTAAAAATTTGTGAATTATTGATGTATTGATTTTTATAATTTAATTTACTTTTAATCTAATAAATTACAGTGTTAAGTCACTTTTAATCTTGGACTTTTAATCATAATAAACTAGTAAATTAGAAATATTGATATTAAGAAATTATAATCTATATATGAGACTAGAGAATACTTGAGATGCTTGACATGATTAAGTCCATTAACTATAATAAGAGCTTCTAATGTTTCTTTTGACTTGGATGGCAGCTATGGAGGATTTGTCATTGGTTGTTAACAATAAAGTGAGGAATTCATAGGAAGAATATTAATTATTCACACAATCTAATTCACAGGAGTATGATTTCTTCATTTAATCGAAAAAACTACAAAATTTAGATAGATTTTTTATTATTAGGACTGTAAACACTTTTTGAAGTCAAAACTTTCAACACTTCAAGTTAGACTTTTAAGCAAGAACTTAAACATGTTTGAAAATTTAGCAAGTTCTCTATGGAATCAACACACGGACTCAGATCCACATTTTACTTGGGTGATACATATGTCTATGTTATTATCACAGGCTTCGTAGCAGTTTCAGGCATTAACTTTTCGGCGTTGTTGTCAGGGAACAATGTTGACTTTCTAATTTAAGAGAATTTTAGTTGAATTACTTGTAGTTTATTTTTGAAATGTGTATTATTATCTTTGTTCAACATATTGTTTTGTGACTATTAGATTTTTCGTGTTGTTATTTGCATATTTAAAAATTACAAAAATATTGCATCTTGTGATTTTGCTGTGATAGTTTGTAAGTTATTTTTTTAACAAGTTATAGTTGTCTTATGTGTTGAATCATTATATTTGTGTTTCCTATTAGCTTAGGGTCGGTTAGTTTATAGTCCTAAGTTATATGTGTAGGATTGGATTAGATGAACTTGTTCCTTACCACCTTGAACTAGAAATAACTGCTAATAAATTAAAAACATAAGAAAATGTAAAATGAATCTAGTAGAAATGATAAACTATTTTAGGACGAGATTAACAAACCTATACCGAATATCATGTCTAAATCACTTAGAGAATATGTCAACCCAAAGGTTGAGGAAATTCACTTGAGTATCAAAAACTCTAGTATAAAAGTCAATTATTTTGAATCAAACCAATTATCATCGAAACGATTTTGAATAATTAATTTGTGGGATCATCCACAGAAAACCCCCACCTCCACGTAATCAGCTTTTTAGAACTTTGGGTCACCTTAAGATATAGTGGTGTCTCTAATGACACAATTATACATAGATTATTCCCTTTCTCACTTAGGGAAAAGCTAATATGTGATTAAACATGTTAGAACTATGACCTATGAACACTTGGAATGAACCAACACATAAATTCCTAACAAAATACTTTTCTAATACTACAAAACTTACGAATGATATCACATCCTTTAGTCAAATAGAGGGAGAATTCATTTATGAAGCATGAAGAGATTTAAAAAACTACTTAGGAAGTGGCCCAATCATGCACCACATGACTGGGTTATCATTAAAAAATTTTATGATGAGATGGTGGGATCGCTAAGGTCAATTATAGATTTTTCACCTTGGGGTCCCTTCTATCCAAATCAATTGAAGAGACCAATTCATTACTTGTGGAGATGACCAACAATTTCCAATGGCTTGTTGATAGAGTAAATTTTAGGAAGGTAGCTAATGTCCATGATTATCATGTATTAGATATTCTAACTTCACAACTACCTACTAGATTGAGGAAGTTAGATAATTTAGATTTAAATCTAGCAAAAAGATCACTAGCAATAGAAGTGAATGCCTCTGGATTACTAGTGGACCCTTGCAGTGCTTCTATGAAATTCATAAATGTTATAACCAATATAGCTGATAACCCTTACTCTAACACATTTTCTCATGGATGAAAGGATCACCCTAATCTCGGTTGGAGCAATAATTATAGAATAAAAAACCAACAATGGGATAACAATTCTTCCCAATCTTGTAATAAATTAGAATAATCAGGTAATAGTAATGCAAGAACGACTCTCTCACCAAGATTCATTATAAATTCTCGATTTAATGATAATAAATTAACTTTAGAAGAATTTTTGTTAAAAATGCAGAACTAGTTACAAAGTCCAACTATAACAATAAAAAATATTAAGAATCAACTAGGGAAAATAGATAACTCTTTGAATATTAGACTCAAAGGGGCATTGCCTAGTAATATTGAATGAGATCTTGAAGACAAAAAAAAGAGCAAGTGAAAGCCATTAAGTTAATAAATGGAAAGGAATTGGAAAAGATGATTAGAAAGAAGTTTAGTGAACAAAAAATTGAACTTGAGCTTGAATGACCTATTGAAAAACCTACCTAGGGCTTAGAAAAATTTAGAGACATAGGAAAATCTGACTCATCTAAAGACTTAGAAAAATATGGCGTACCCCTTAAGACGGGAAAAGAGAGACCACCACCACCTTTTCCTTTTAAGATTTTAGACCTAAATTAGACAAATAGTTCTCAAGATTTTTATCAGTGTTCAAAAGTTCACAATGAACTTCTCACTTGTGGAATATTTAAAATAGATGGCAATTTATGTAAAATTCTTGAAAGATATGTTAAGTAAGATAAGAAACTATGACATCTTAAGACTGTAGCTCTGAGTGAGGAGTGTGGTGTTATAACTCAAAAGAAATTTCTTAAGAAATTAAAGGCATCAGTTGCTTCACCATCACTTATACCATTAGAAAGAAACTATTTGGGAAAGAAATATGTGTCTTAAGAGTTAATATTAACTTTATTCCTCTATCTATATTTTTGTGACTAAGATTAAGAGAAGTCGAGCATATCATAATGACCCTACAACTAACCATTCTCTTACCTATTCTATGAGGTTATAAAGAAATTTTTTTGTTAAGATTGAAAAGTTAATCTTCCACGCTAATTTTATTAGCATAGATATTCAGAAAGATAAGGAGATCTTGATTATCTTAAGTAGACCTTTTTTAGCTATAGGAAGGGGTATGATAGATGTTTATAACAGGGATTTGAGTTTGAGGATAAATGATCAGGAAATGACTTTTAATGATTTAAAATCAATTAATTACCACCATGACTCAAGAATGATTCATGCTCTTGGTAGACTTGGTGGATGGGTTGATAAGGAGCTAATTTTAAGATACTATCGAGATTTTTATGACAGAGTAAGAATTCATTAAGGATGATAGTAATGAACCTAAGAATTAAAAGCTCCATTATTAGAAGAAACTCCAAAAGTTATTAGGCAATGATTTGGGATTCTAGACACCTCAAATAATTCTAAACCCTTAATACCATTTATAATTGATGCCTCAAAATTAAAGCTTAAGGTTATTCCACTCTATTTGAAGTATGAGTTCTTTGAAGAATCTTCTACTTTACATGTGATTATTTTTTTGAATTGACTTAATTACAAGAGATAAAGTTATTGCATGTTTTGGGGACTTTTAAGAAAGCTTTAAGGCAAAGTAGAGCATATATAAATGGTATAAACCCCTTTTTATGTATGCATAGAACATTGATGGAGGAAGATAATTAACATAAATTTAATTCCCGAAAGAGGCTAAACCAGTGATGAAAGACTTAGTAAAAAGAAGATTTTGAAGTGCATGAAATATCTACCCTCTTTCTTATAGTGCATGGCTTAGACTTTACACTGTGTACCCAAAAAAGGAGGTGTAACTATAGTGCAAAATGAAAATAATGAACTTATCCTGACTAGGAGTGTCACAAAGGGTTTGAATAGAAAATAGGAAGTTGAACAAAGTTACCACAAAAGGCCACTTTTTATTCTCATTCATCGACAAAATATTAAAAAACTAGTAGAATATTCTTATTTTTTGTTTTCTAGATGGTCATTGAGGATACTATAAAATTTCTATAGCATTAGTAGATTATGATAAAATAATTTTTATCAACCTTTGCGTTTAGAAGGATACCTTCTAGCCTTTGTAATGCCTCAACCAGTTTCTAGAAATGTATGATGTCAATTTTTTTAGACTTAAAAGAAAAAGAGATTGATGTGTTTCTGAGTGATTTCTTAATATTTGGCATATCATTTGATTAATATCCCAAACATTTATTAAAATTTGTACAGCAATGTGAAGAGACTAACTAAGTGTTTAATTGAGAAAAAAGGTCAATTTATAGTGACTAGAGAGATGATTCTAGGGAATAGGTTATCTAAGTAATGGATGGAGTTCGATAAAAAAATAAGTTATAAAGAAATTATCCACACCCACTTCTGTTAGAGGGATTAAATTTTTTTTTGAGTCACTATATATATATATATATGTATATATATATATATA